GGTCCCGCTGGGCCCGATGGAAAGTTGCTGGCCCTTGGGAAAAGGCAAACCCTCGCGGGTTCTGGTATGGTGACTCAGGGGCCTCATGTGACATTTGCGTTTGGAAGCAGAGTTTCAAGGCGGAGTTGGCCAGAGACCAGGGCAGAGCGGCAGGGACAACCCTGCTCGACCTGGTCAAAGCATATGAGCACGTGCCCCACCATGTTTTAGCTGCAGCAGCCCGTCGGCACAAGTTCCGAGGTAAGACCCTTCGCTTCCTGCTCGCATCATATTGCCTCGACAGAATGGTGCTCTTCCAGAACATCGCCACGCAGGTGGTGGTGACGCACCGCACGATTGTCGCGGGCTGCAGCTGCGCGACTTCCCTACTGCGTCTGGTGCTCTTGTCGCCAGTGGATGCCGTCTCTCTTCGCTTCGTGAATGTCGAGGTGGCGGTCGTGGTAGATGATCTGCAGTTGCAACGTATTGGCGAGGCATGGGAAGTCGCCAGGGAACTCAAGGGGGCCGAGGACCTATTGGCGGCTGAGCTTACGCAGATCGGCTTGACTCTCTCCCTGCCCAAGAAGCACCAGGTGGTCATCGGCCAAGGCATACGGAAGGTGTTTAGGAAAGTCAACCCGTCCTCGTCGAGGTTCCTCACACGCTCGGTTCGGAACCTGGGGCTGGACTTTGGCGGTGGAAATCGGCTTTCTCATTCGGTTCGTGCACAGCGGCTGGGCAGGATGGCGTCTCGGATCCCTCGGTATAAGCGGCTCGCGAAAGCTGGGGGCAAGACGATCAAGCTGGTGCAGACTGGCCTCAAGCCTGGGATGCTCTGGGCAGTGGGAGTTCACGGCATCAGCAACACGCACCTACTGAGCGCCAGGCAACTGGCGCGCGCGGGCATGGTCTACAGGCACACGGGCAGGTCGCTCTCATTGGACCTCATGCTGGCTGGGCCGCAGGTCGACCCCGCCTTCGAGTGCAACAGGAGCCCGATCTTCCTCTGGCTGCAGGCGCTGTGGGACGGATGGGCCCCCAGAGCAGATATGGCGCGACTTCTGAGTGGAGCATGGACACGCCTGTCTAGAGTTCCTGTGTCTCAAGTTTGGTCTGACATTCGCGGACCTGCTTCTGCGCTAGTTGCGACAATTTTGCGGTTGGGTTGGTCTGTATCTGACCCTTTTCATTGGAAGACCCACCGAGGTCCTCTTGCAATTGAACAGATTTCCCCGAAGGATGGAGGTAAGTTAGTTGATGAGGCCACCGAGCGGTGGGTGTGGCGCCAGGTTCTCGCGAAGCATCCCTCGTGGGTCTCGCCCTGCCCTCATCCTCCTCTCGTGGAGCCCCTGAGGTCCCTCCTCCAGCCTCATTCTGTCCGAGGCCCTGACTGGACCCCAAGGCATCAGGGACTGCTGCGGTGCCTGTTTGCAGGAGGTTTCTGGTCGCAGGAGCGACTGTACGAGTCAGGTGGAGCCGTCAACCCGAGCTGCCTTGCCTGTCAGAGTGCTGGATCTACCTGGCACCGATTCTACGATTGCCCCCTGCATACCGAGTTCCGTCGGGATTACAGAGCTGGCAGTGCCATGGCTGGTCAAATGCTAGACATGGCCCGAGCTGCTGCGGTGGATACCTTGCTTTTCACGCGCTTTCTTGTTCCTGACCCTGCTTGGCTCTTCCCGAGCCCCTGCCTCGAGGAGCGAGTCGTGTGGACGGTGCGGTCTCCCGACTTGCTGCTCGACGTGCACGTGTTCGGTGATGGGTCGGGGAGGCACGGAAGTTTCTCTCGCTTACGGCGCTGCGGATGGGGACTCTGTTCGCTTGACGACAGCAAGCGAGTGGTTGCTCGCCTGCATGGCCCTCTGCCCTGTCTCATTCAATCTGTGCCAGCGGCTGAGCTTTTCAGTTTCTTGATGGCGCTGAGGTATATGGGAGCTCAGATGAAGTTTTATACGGATTGCAAGCCGCTCGTGGATGTCTGGCGCCAAGGCGTTGGAGCGGGCACCGCTGCGAGTGACCCGCTTGCCTTACTTTGGAGGGAGGTTTGGAGGCTTGTGTCTGACCGTGGGGGTGAGTCGGTGGAGGTTTCTCACGTCAAAGCGCATACTCCTGCCTCTGCCGTAGCAGAGGGACGGATTTCAGAATGGCAGCGTGTCGGCAATGCCCAGGCTGATCAGTCGGCTAAATGGGGTGCCGCCATGCATAGTGATTCCCTCCAGCTGCGATCTGCGCATGGCGCGTCGCGCAGCGCCATCCGCCTTGTAGCCCAGTTCTGTACCAGGCTGGTCGCTCGGATCGGCACCATCACGCCACGTGACGCCCAAGCGCAAATACTCGGCCGTGCCATAGGCACGATTGAGGGGGGACTTGGTCCCCCGAAGCCGCACTCGCGTTTCGACCCTGCAGTGACGGTGGTTGCGCACAGGTTCCGATGCATGGTGTGCCTTCGGTCAGCGAGGACACGCTCGGTGCTTCGCCAGCTTCGATGTGACGACAGGTCCAGCTCCCACGCACTTCACCGCGCGGGGCCTTTCCTGTTCTGCTCTCTGTGCGGGGCATTTTCGGAAAAGAAGAGCCAGGGTCTTTCGCAGGATTGCTTACCGATGAATCGTAGGCAGGGTGTCCTGGTGAGAGACTCGAGATACTACAGGCTGCGCAACCTCATGCGAGGCTGCCATCCTTTACGGGCCCGCGATTTTGTGGGCCCTCCGATTTTGCTGCGGAAGCGAAGGCTGCTGGAGTCGGCCGAACTGCCGCCTCTGCCTGCTCTTTCTCCTCCTGTCGGGACTGGGAGTGGGGGGGTGGGGGTGGGGTGGACGGGGCAGGAGTGCTCTCCGCCGCCCGCTTTCCAGGCCGATCTGGCCTTGTGGGACGGCCTCTCTGGCTTTCCCATTGCCAGCGTAGAGGAGGACGACGGCGACCCATCCCAAGGTGCGTGGGGTCGGGTCGAATGCGTCCCCTGCGCTGGCTAGCTGTCTTTCAAACGAAGGCTGGTTCGCTTGCGGTCAGTCTCTGTCAGTAAAAAAAAAAAAAAGGTGGGGTTCACTCCGTTCGGGAGCTCCCGAGCGAAGTGAACCCCACCCTCCCCCTCAGAAGTCGTGGGGGGTAGGGGTAGGGTTCGCATGTGCCCCCCTATCTGTTCGCTTGCTGATCCCCTGGATGCCAGAAGGAACATCCTGGAGGCCTCGCGCGGCGCGTAATACGTAGTAGTATTGTTAAGTCGGGCCTGTCCCTCCGTAGGAGGGATCTTCAAAAAGAAGACAACAAAGTCGTGGGATTATGTTTTGACTGTTTTTGCCCATCTTGGGGGCATGTTTGGAGTATTTATGTGTTTTCGCCCAGCATCCCCCTGTAGGGGGACACGACCGACTTAATAGCACTGTCTGGTCCACCCGTTCCAGCGTCAGTCCGACGTAGGCCCGACGGGAACCCGACGTGAACCCGACGTGAATCCGACGTGAATCCGACGTGGATCCGACGTACATCGGGTCTTACGTCATGATGTTTTGTTTGTTTTACCTACTTTAGCCTTCATCACCGGAGAGAATTTCGAGCACCAGAAAAAAAAACGAGACTCGAGGGTTTTCGGGAGTCGGGCTCTGAGAGACACTCGTCCGACACTGTTTCGACACCCTTTCAACACTTTTCCGGGTGCTCCAAGTTCTGTTTGGGATGTGGTCCTTCAGTATGATGGGAGCAACATCAGTCGTACGGTACTTACGTTGCCGCGCGATGCCTCGAGGATTTTCTTCACACACCCTGGATATGTTGGCCCAGGTGCGCCCGCTTGCGTTGCTGCTGCTCCCCTTGCCCTCCCCTCCCCTGCTGCTCTGCTCTCCTTGCCCCAGCCGCGGGGCGATGTCTTTGCGTTTTTTTGTGAGCTATATATATATATAGAGAGAGAACAACAAAAAGAAGAGCGAGAACATAAAAAACGTGTTCGCCCAAGAGTGCGTTTAACTACCCACCTGGGCCGCCTGCGTGCGCGCACGCGCGATCTCCGCCGATTCTCGGCGGCCCCAGCCTCCTCCCCCCCTCGTCCGCGGACGTCCCGCACGTTTTCCGCCCGCTCGGGTGTGAAGTCGGGCGTGCCCCTCTGCGGGAGGAAGTGCCCAAACTGGCCAGACAATGGTAGAGTGGACGCCCGTGTCTGTATCTCTCGCTGCCAGTCTTCGTTGTTTCCTCAAGACCCGCCTGTACGGTAGGTTTGCGTCGTGTCGACCAGCGGCGACCCCAGCGCGGACGTTCAAGGTTGAACGCCGCCGGCGACCCAGAATCGATCGATGTTGAACGATCGGACGTTGCGGCAGCGGCCGATCGTTCAAGGTTGAATGATCCCTGTGGTGTCAAAAACCAACGCTGGGGTCGGCACGACACGAACCTGCCGTAGGAGGACGTGCTCGACCCGACTGCAGCGCGCCCCCGGCGCTGCCCGTCCGTCCTGCGGTCGCGCCCGCGCCCGCCGGCGCCGCGAGCCGAGACGTGCTCGCCCCGAGTCCCGCCCCGCCGGTGGCGCGGCAGGCGCTGCGCTGGCCCCCGCCGTAGCACTGAGGTGCGTCGGAGGAGGAGGAGGAGGAGGAGGACGGGGCGCGGCGACCCCCCATCCTCCCGTTCGAGGAGGAGGAGGAGAGGACTCCGCAGGGGACCGCCCCTCAGGGATGGGAGAAGAAGAAGGAGGAGGAGGTCGTCGTGTACAAGGTGCTGCAAGGAGAGGACTCCGCAGGGGACCGCCCCTCAGGGATGGGAGAAGAAAGAAGGAGGAGGAGGCAGAACCCAAATCGAGGCGTCAACGATAAACCGAAAAGGCCCGAGAAACTTGAGACGACACTGGCGCAAGCCACCGAAACCGAGTCGGGGCGGTCGAGCGAGAAAACCAACGGGCCTGGCCCGAGCGGGCTGCCTGCGCGGCGCAACGTTGCGCAGGGTGCATGGCTTCCCACGCGCCGCTACCGAACGGTAGGCGGAGGAGGAAGCACACGCTGGCGCCAGCACGCGTTCTCAGGATCACCAGTGCGCCTCTTCCAGCACGTTGGCAGCCTTTGGCTCGGTCGTTGGCTCGAGCCTCGGCTCGGGCTCATGAGAGGATGGCCTGGACGTCGCAGGTGGGCCCCCCGTTCCTGTGAGCTGGCAGGTCGCAAGAAGTCGCGTCGGGATGGGCTGCCGCTTGACGCTTGGCCCGCGCATAGCCGTAGACCCAGCCGTTGAGCCTGACAGTGTTATTCGCCCTGACTCTCCACTGCCTGACATGATAGCCCCGCGACGTCGCCCATGTCTTTTGCAGAGGATAGCGGCGGGCTTCGCGGTGCACGACGTGAGGGAGCTCAACCGAGGTGGCATCGCCATCGGCCTGCTCCTGATCGTGCGGGCCGCCAGGAGGGAGTTCAGTACGCAGATGAAGACCAGAAGCATTCAGAACGCGATGTCCGGAGGGGGGCACATTTGGGCAGACCTGTGCGGAGTTCAAGTTCAGCATGTCCTTCATCAACAGTCCGAGCTCCAGACCGCCAGCATCTTCACGTAGAGGTGGTGGTCGGGACGGCCAGCTGGCCATGTGCGCCTCCTGCTCCTCCCAGTAAGCCACGCCGGTTAGTGATTGAACCTCGAAGCCCAGAAGATCGACCAGAGTCACAGAACCCGGTTTGCCACAACAGGTGCTTTTCGGGTGACGGCAGCTCCGGTCAGTGGAACGGGGCGGGGGGGGGCGCGCCCAAGCGCACATCCTGAAGCAGGGTCCCACTGAACCCACTCTTGCTAAAGCCCAGTCCCCAGGAGGGGGAAAAAACACGCAGACACAATGAATCGTCAACCCCCGGGAGAATCTGGGAAAGTACGGGAAGTGGGGGGGCAGACAAAAGGCCAGAAAATATGGGAAAACATGGGCACTGGATATGGACAAAAATTGAGCCTTTTGGAGGCAGATTATAATCCATATCCAGTGCGCCTCATGCTTCTTGGGAAGAGAGTCCGAAACTCCAAGACGCACTGGATGTGGACAAAGACATTGCCCGCACTCTTTGTGTGTATTTTTATGTGTGTGTGTGTGTGTGTGTCCCCGGGGCCCTCCTCCTCGGGGGGGGCAGGAGGAGGAGGAGGAGGAGGAGGAGGAGGAGGAGGAGGAGGAGGAGGAGGAGGAGGCGGAGGAGGAGGAGGAGGAGGAGGAGGAGGAGGAGGAGGAGGAGGAGGAGGAGGTTAACCCTAACCGGGGCCCTTTATCAGATCAGACGCGCACGCGTGCGGCCGCGGCCGCGGCCGCCGACGCGCACGAGCAGGTCGCCGAGGCGTGGTCGCCGAGGCCCGGCGCGCGGGCCTCCGCGGCCGTCTCGGCGGCCTCTCTGCGCCGAGAAGCGCCTTCGCTGGGGGAGCGAAGGCGCGAGAGCCGAGGGCCCCCTCCTCCTCCTCTCCTCCTCCTCCTCCTCCTCCTCCTCCTCCTCCTCCTCTCCTCCTCCTCCTCCTCCTCCTCCTCCTCCTCCTCCTCCTCCTCCTCCTCCTCCTCCTCCTCGGGGGGCAGGCGCGCCCGCCCCACGCTCGCTGGGCCTTTCTCGCTGCTGGCGTGGAGCATCGGCGGCGGCGTACAGGCAGCGGCTTGAAGAAGGAACGCCTGCGTTTCAAAGGAGCCTCCTGGGAAACCTGAGGAAACGACCGAGTTTCCTTGAGGAAGACCTAGCAACACCTAGGGAAACGAACAATGACATAAGCATAAAAACTCGGAGGTCCGCGCGGATTTCTCGGATCGGCGCTGGGGCTCCCCGGCGGGGCGGCGTTCCTGGCGCGCTCCGCGCGCCGGGGAGGGGGGTCTCCAGCGCGGATCCGAGAAATGCGCGCGGAGCTCCGAGTTGTTATGCTTATGCCACTTTTTGCTCCCCTGTTCGTGGGCGAAGTGGGGGGATTGGGAAAGGGGGGGTCACGAAATCTGCTGCATGCAGCTGGCTTCGGCCCCGCCGAGGGGCCCATTCCTCGAGACGTGGGCGCCTCCCGGCGCCGGGAGAATCAGCGATGTGAGCTGATTCTCACCCCCCTCCCCTTTTTGCTATCCCCCCCTTTCGCCCGGCCCGAGAGAAGCGCCTTCGTGGACGAGTGGGGAAGCTTTCTGTGCAGTCGTTCAGGCTTCCGCTTCGCCGTCGCGACTGCAGTGTTTCACCCCGGTGGGGACGCATGCGTGTACAGGTGATGCGTCCTTGCAAGCGTTGCAGTGTATATTTGTTCTGTCGCTGTCGCGCTGGCCAGGCTGGGTTTGTTTTGCTTGGATTCCCGACCCATTGGCGTGACATTCGTATTTCGATTGCTTTCGACCGCCACCTCTGGCAGTACTTGATCGGACGCCGTGGGGGGAACACTCAACTGTGTCCTCCGGCTCCCTCAGCCAGTCTTCAAAATTATTTCTCGTGTCTTCCTCGTCCCCCTTCTCCTGCCAGCGGTTGGGGTCCGTGTGGCAGTGTCGGCACAACGCCTCTCTTCGACGCCTTCCAGGCCATGGCCCTTTCTGTGGGCTGGAGCTCGCACTACGATTCGAACCCTGTAACGAGGCTAGAATCACCGGCTCTGAGTACACCGCGAACTCGGATTCTCTTCCCACTGTTCGTGCCCTCCTCACCGTATCCTTCTGCCCTGCTCGTCCTGCTCTCCTCCTTCCTCGCCAGGTCTGCCCACGGGTGGTCAGGGGCTCTGATCAGGAGAGGAATATACACACAGACACAAGTAATCGGCGACTCTGAGAAAAATATTGCAAAATACGCGAATTGCGGGGGGGACACGAAACTCCAGAAATGATTGACAAAGATTTGGGAATATGGGATTCGTGTGTGTGTGTGTGTGTGTTTATTTGTGGGTCCCTGGGCCCCTTTATTCGAGCAAAGCCTAGGAGGCGTCCACCTCTCAGTCCATGCGAGAGACCACTTAAAACCACACGGGAGAACCATGCGGGAGACCACGGTCCAAAAGTCATCGATTCTGGATCCGCGTTTGTTCACACCTGCTTGTGAAACATTCGAGAGAGTTATAGGACCTTTACAGATAAGCTATTCAGGGGCACGTCACCATGTCGGAGGTCTTGCTATTCTTAAGCTGTTTGGTAGGCGCCCTGACCGAGCCCTCCCCGTGCGCCAGGGCATCACCTTCCACCAGGCGGGCGGCGTGGGCGGCGAGATCTTCAAGGCGGCCCCACCCCCCCTGCTCTCAAGGCTCCGGGTTGCGCTCTTTGGTGCGCACAAGGGGCGCGCTCGGAGCAGAGGGACGGCTCCTGACCAGGCCTCGGGCGTTTTGGGCAGAACATGAGACGTAAGCATGTGTGTTTCGCACTGCTCGGCATCCAGGGGCTTCCTCGGAGCCCGGGGACGTCAAACTAATCAGGAAGCGCAAAGGACGGATCGGGGAAGGGGTCGCCAGATCCAGGGGTTCATGCTTCGAGGAGTCATGAGATCAGAGGTCAAACGGGTTGCTCGTCTCAACGGTTCTCCAACCGCTTGCACTAAAGAAGCATTGCGATCAGTAGGAATGTTGAGGTGTTATGATTACAGTCGGACCGAGATATACGATCGAGGTTGGTTTGGAGAGGGCACCATCATGTTGTTCGTGTTTGCTGGATGCTCTTGTGCATCTGGGGGAGGATACCACCGAATGTACTTCAGTTTTGGCAGGTGGAGGGTTCTATGCTCTTGAAGGATGTTCGTCCGTCTCTGAAGGCATCCGTGGGGCGACGAGGCACTGTAGTTGGGAGGAGGGGGGGAAGGGAGAAGACGGAGGGGGCGAGCGGAGTTGGAGGCGCAAGCGGGTGAGGAGGAAGTCCAGGGTCCACGTATATCCGCAGCGCTTCACCCTCTGCCGACGGCGCCCCCCTTCGCATCGCCTGGATGGCCGCGCCCGGCTGGTGGGCCGGCTGGTGTCTTTTGCCGGTCGGTTGGCGGGCAGCTCGGCCGACCGGCTTGCTGTTCAAGCTGCCGGCTGGCAATCGATCTGGGCTGCTCGCTGGCTGGCCAGGCGCGCTGGGCTGCTCGCTGGCTCGCTGGGCTGCTCGCTGGCTGGCCAGGCGCGCGCGTGCACGGCACTCCGTGTAGGGACGGCGGCCTCGGGCGCCCGCTGGCGTTGCATATGTTCCTGCGCCTCGGGGCTCCGGGAGCGCGCGCCCTCTCTGCCGTCTTTGCAGTGGTTCGTGGCCTCGGGCCCCGCGCCGAATTCGCAGGGAGCGGTGGTGGAGGGAGAGGGGGAGGGGGAGGAGCCAGAGTCGGAGTCGGAAGCCTCGGCAGCTCGGTGGCCTCTGTCTCGCGCGGGGGCGCGGCTCGACTGGCGCGGCACGACTGGAGCTTCGAGCTTCGAACTGCTGGCTAAGTCATTTGGCTTTGCAGAGGGATGCCTGCGGGACCCATGGCCTGTTGAGCCTCTCGGGCCCGCTTCGACACTGGGCCGATTCTCTCCGAAGGTGGGTGCGTGGAACGGGTGAGGGTCATCGCACTTGGGCGCATTTCCTCACCTTTGGGTGAGGCTCAAAGTGCTACAGTAGGGGTCTTGAAGAAGGAACCCTTTTCGTTGGGGAGGGGCTCGGCGTTCCTTGATTGTTTTACAGCGTGCCTTGGGTTTTCCTTGGGGGGTCCATGGGAAATCGAAGTTTATCTCATGGGAAAAAGGCGCCTCGTTCCTCATTTAGGGTTAATTAGGTCAACGCCCCGACTGTACTACCTTGATCCCTCATTGCGTTAAAGCTGCTGCATACAGTCGTATCCAACCCCCGCACTGCTCGCCTCCCACACACTCCCCCCGTCCAGGGTCGGTGCAGTCGGTCGCCTACTGCAGACAGAGTCATTATATATATACATACATACAGACACGCGCAGTGCTGGCTCCCAGTGCCTTCTAAACGGGACATGCCAAGAGCGCCTCGGAAGTACAGGCCAGGGGCAAGGGAGTAGAGGCGAGGCCCGATCCGAGACATGGGACCAGGGGCGTCCAGCTGGAGTGGGCGACGAGGTCGGACGTCGGCGTGGCCTGCATTCTATGATATATATGTATATACACACATATATATATACACACGTATATATATGTATATATATATATATATATTGAGAGAGAGAGAGAGAGAAAACAAAAAAATCCGCTGTGACTTGTCCATCCACTCGCTGCCGTAGGCAGGTGTCCGCTGGGCCCCCCTGGCCCGTCTAGAGGTGGGGGTGGCGAAGGTGCACGCACGAGAGGTGTCCGCTCCCCCCCCCACCCCCCCTAAGGTATGTTCGTGTCGTGTCGACCGGCGGCGATCCCGCCAGTGGCGTTCAACGTTGAACGCCGCGGGCGACCCAGAATCGTTCGATGTGGAACGATTTGGACATTTCGAAAACGGCCGATCGTTCCAGGTTGAACGATCACCGCGGTGTCAGAAACCAACGCCGAAGTCGGCACGACACGAACCTGACGTACCCCTCCTCTACAGTCGCTCGGCGACCAAACGCCGCAGCAGGAGGAGGAGCAGGAGGAGGAGGAGGAGGAGGAGGAGGAGGAGGAGGAAGGGAGGAGGATGAGGAGGGGGAGGCGAACAGCGCAGCTGGTCTGCCCTGGAGACGGGTGGCGCTGTTTGGGGTAGCCTCCGTAGGGTGGGTCCGTGGACTCGGCAGCACCAGCGCGCACTAAAATGTACGAGTGGCCGTGGCTTCGGGGACGCAAAATCGGCAGCAAATCATGGGAGCCTCGGGTACCCTCGTAGTACTGTCCTAGCGTCGTCTAGCGTCCATTCGCTTCTGGGACTCGGTGAGACAACGCCTATGTAGCGCCGTTTTAGCGTCGATGCAGCGTCGAAAGGCGTCGATTTGGCGTCGACCAGCGTCGATGCGCAAGCGCCGACGAGCTGGTGTGTGTGGGGGGGCTCCCGGGAGCTGCCACCGAGAGCCGAGGGCCTCCGAAGGGGGGCAGGCGCGCCCGCCCCACGCTCGCCGGGCCTTGCTCGCTTCGCTGCTGGCGTGGAGCATCGGCGGCGTCGTACAGGCAGCGGCTTGAGGAAGGAACGCCTGCGTTTCAAAGGAGCCTCCTGGGAAACCTGAGGAAACGACCGAGTGTCCTGGGGGAAAACCTAGGACAACCTAGGGAAACGAACAATGACATAAGCATAACAACTCGGAGGTCCGCGCGGATTTCCCGGATCGGCGCTGGGGCCCCCTGGCGGCGCCTCCGGCGCCGCCCCTGGCGCGCTCCGCGCGCCAGGGAGGGGGGCCCAGCGCAGATCCAAGAAATTTGCGCGGACCTCCGAGTTTTCATGTTCGTGCCATGTTTCGTTCCCTACTTTTCAAAAGGGACTCGGTCGTTCCTTAGGCTTGCATGCGTTATTACTCGCTCCCCATGCGTAGCGTACTGATTTATTGTTCCCTGTGCATTCTTCCTTGGGGGAAATAGGCTTCCTTCCTCATTTATCGTTCCTTAGGCCGATGACTGCAGACGAAAGGAGGAGGCTG